TGCAGCATTGTATCTAATCCACGTGAACTCTGAGCATCCCCTCGCAATCACACCCCAAGTGCCTACTCTGAAAATGTCACTTGGTGGCTCCGGTATCAAGAGCTTGTCAGCAACAGGGCGGTGTTGGCACTTAGATGGTTCTGCACATAGTCTGCCACAGAAAACTCAGATACTGAGCGATGTGGCTACCTCCTCCTAGGTGGAAGCTGACTGTCAGTTCTGCAGCTGATAACGCACCTGAGCAGCGGAAGTCCAAAGAGGTAGACCAGCTCCCGCATCCGTTCGTAAATCTTACTCCCTGCCCTCAGCAGCTCTGAACCAGGGTCCCACAAACGCATGGCCCACAGCCACAGTTAAGTGAACCAGAAAGTGCCAGGTCCAGGTTGCCTTTCTGGTGCATGGATTGATTTCCCCACGTTAGGTGTGGCTCTCTGGAGGCTGATGTCTCCCATGGAGCTCCAGGATGGGAAACAGAGTAGTCCTACTGTCCGGTCTGGGACACCATCTGGGGCTGATCATTAGGTCTGATGGGACTACAGTGCCTCCTGGGCCCCAGCCAAGTCCCTCCAGTGGTACCACACCGTGCCGTGTGGTTACACCAGCTCGTTTGGTGTGAGCCGTCAGCACTCAGCTGCCAACGGGAGCAAAGCTGACAGTTGCCCACCAGATGCTCCTCGCTCCCCGCAGGGCCTAGGAAAGGTAGGAAAGCTCTTTTCCTGAGGAAAAGCAACCGAGAGCACAACGACAAGGATAATCCTCTAGGTGGCATCCAGAATCCCCAAACTTCACACAAAACTTTCCCGAGGTTGCACACAGCCTTGCCCTTAGCCGTTGGGATACCCGGCGGTGCCGGCTGTCGCTATAGCTAATAACAATCACACCTCCGTTGCTTCTTCATCTGGTGCCAAGCCCTTGGCTGCTTAAACTGAGTTCATTCAAAGGCAATTGGGTCTTAGGAAAAGGCAAAAAGTCTTAGGAAAGGACACATAGCACTTTGCAGGAATATTCCTCTTTCTTAGAAACCTTCCTCATACGTATTAGGAACTGCCTGTTTGATATCAGTGAACCGGGGTTAGGAAGAAAAAAGGTATTTATCAAACAACTATGGCCTTTTCCTAATAGCATATTTTAATATCGCACAGGAATGAACTAGAAAAGAGACTGCCTTGCTCTGTTAATGATTATGGCTATTCCAGTGCAGCCTGCAAATCCAGTGCCTTCTCTTTAAGACTGTCTAATTCCAGGTGTTTCAAAGGAAGATAAAAAGCCAGCAGAGAGGATAATTATAGAATAACCTTTCCCTATGGAAAGTTTCGTCCTAATGCTCTTAATTATGTCATGAATCACAAATGCTTCTAACGCTTCTAAACTTACATCATGTGTATATACTGCCTGTTGCCATCTCCATTATTTATGGTTGCATCCAGGACAAAATCCTGGCCCTACCGCAGCAGAACCAGGATGTGGGCCCTCACTTTTTTGAGGACTCTTTCCAGGTCTTGGCTCCAAAGCTGCACCGTCACTATTCCCACAGCTTAGTCTGAGTTGCGTGGGTGTATTAAACCACCCATAAAACAAGACCGAAATGTTTCTGAAATGCAAAAACATTATTAGTAGGGTCCTTTCTTTCTTATACCCATGATTACTGTGTCACTAAGAACAAGCTGTGAGCCCCATTCTGTCAAGCTCATACCTATCCATACATGCATCCTTACTGAGCCAAGATGCAGGACAAACGCTGAAGGCTGGAGCTCTGCACTAGGAGTGGCCACTTCTGTTTTCTCTCCAGTTCTGTGCTAGCTTGAATGGGTTGAAAAGAAACACAAACTTCCTAGGCAGTTCAGTGCTTGCTCCTTGCATCAAACTTTCAGAGCATCAGAGGAACGTTATCTCACATTTCTGAATTTCCAGCGTATGCATGAGTTAAAAAAAATAATAAAAAAAGATGACAACAAGCAAGGGAATTAATGCTGTGGATATTTCATTTTCATTCTTTCAGTGAAGGTCTGTTTCCTAAATAATTTTGCTACTGAAAGTTGCTAGCTCTAAATCTTATTTTCAGACACATCGCTTGCCTGTGGCAGGCGCTCGGGTACCTCTAAACTTTTCTAAAGCTATAGGTGGAGAAAAGGTCTCCCCATCCCTTCGGGGTGCAGAGGCAGCCACAGCCCTTGTCCCTGCCTTTAAATCCTTGCACCTCTTCCCTGCCTCCCCCGGTGCTGGCTGCCCTGGCAGCACAGCCGAGTGCCACCACCTGTCCCCAGCACACATCCCTATAGTGCGGAGGTGAAAGGGATGGGGTGTGTGTGTGTGTGTGTGTGTGTGTGCAAGAACGGGATTTGTTTGTCATAACCTTCAACGACAGGTACTGAGCGCCTGGGCGGCGTTCATCGCCGGTGCTACCCCCGGCGGGGATCGGCCCCGGGCGAGCTCGCCCCGCGCACGGCGGAGGGGACCGGGGTAGACGGGGGACCCGTCCCCAGCAGCTGGGTCCCCCCCCGGGGACGGGGCTGGCAAGGCCCCCG